CTTTTAATTTATATTCCTCATCATGGAACATCCCTAACATTAAAGGAGTTTCACCCAAAAGACGTCAAGTCATAAGTAGTATCATAGATAATTCAGAAGCGTGTACAACTTTGGAGGACGTAGCTTAGGTACGCAGGGAACATAATTTAACGAAATGATTACGATTGAATTATCATGGTCCATTAATACCCCTGCAAACGCTCCTAGCAAACGTCATGGTTATACTGCAACACTATTATATTCAATGGGTTTATTGCGTACATTATGAGGTTTGGAATTTATAGAGTCCCAAGATGTGGACATCAAAATAGTTAATCTCTATGACACGAATTCTCTAACCTGGTCTTTAAAAGTCTGTGTAACTTCAAGCACAATCGATAATTGTAGTGGACATATTAAGTAATTATTATTTCTCGTTTATTTTTATTTTTTTATTTTTTATATTAAAAAAGCCTCAGAAGGTAAAATCATTATTCACGGAGGTTCTAAGATCATTGAAACATATCCGACGCTCCAGCTATGCCAGAAATGTTCGTTTAATATGGAAGCAAAACAATTTGAATTTAGTGACCATCGATTGTATCAAATATTGGTCAAGTTCCTACGCCAACATCTCATAAGACTAATCTGGTTGGAATCTATATGATTGTAGTTTTGGTAAGTTTCGGTGATTAATTTATTGAAATAACTCAAAATATTTAACTACTTTTATTTTTATTTATGGTAGGAAATATCACAACCAAATTCCGAACCATTGGCATCTAAGAATCACAATATTTATTTAATGGATATTAGAAATTTTACTGGTGTGAATTCATTTGAACCAACAATAACAATACAAAGGAACCAACAGCAAATGAAACAACAAACGCTTCATTTAGCTTATAATCTACTTAGTTAGTGGAACTTTAGGTGCTGTGATGATTTTGGCAGCCGTAAGTTTTATTTAAAGACGCACACGTACACGTAATAGTAATAAAAACGCATAGGTTGAAATTGATAATGTTGGTAAAATTGAAGATATAGAACAACATAATTTACCTGGACAAGCTTTTCCATTATAATCTTCGAAACCAATTTATTTTTTGAATGAATTTAACCGTGTAAACTTAAATATAAAAATGACAAAAAAGTAGAATAATAATTATAAATGAACAAGTAATACAGTATGTATCTAGTTGTGCAATCTTTTTTAACTTTTATTTTATTTTATGTTTTTTACGTTTTCTTTGTAATTTTAATTCCTTCTTATAAGAATATCAAAAATTATTATTTAATGCCATACACCAGCAGCGATAGGATTGGCAATTATATAACATTTTTTTATGGAATATTTCCAATAATGTACAAACTTTAAAAATTAAATATTTAGTTAAAGGCATTATAAAGGTAATAATTCCTATAACCACTAAATAATGAACAATGATGCTCAAGGTCACACGAAAACTTTAAAATTCGTAAATTCAAATAACTTTGGCAAGAGCATTGATTTTATTAAATTTGTTAATAATGTAACTTCATTGATTTTTAAATGCTTTGAATTTATAATGAATTGGAGATATCGTGAAATATAATTTTGACAATAGGCCTAAAAAAAAAAAGTTAAAACACGAAAAATAATATATATATTAAGTTGAAATGTTTTTTCTGTATTTTCGAAGCGTCAATACTTAATAGTTTGTTTATCACGTGAATAATAAAATTTCTGAGGTGTTTCTTCAAGTATTCCATGGATCCGTTCACCCATCTTTAAAATATCGATATTCATTTAATACAGTTAGTTTTTTAGAGTATAAATTGGCTTTTTTTTTTTTATAAAAAAACAAAAGTTAATAAAAAAGATTGTTAAAGATATGTAACTAATTATGACACAATAAATTTCAATCAATAGTTAATGGAATCGAATTAACCGTGAAATTTCTACTTAGGCGTATGGGTCACTGCAATAAATTATTTACCAAATTATTTTCTTTTTTTCTTATCCATTTCTTTTAGTTCGTTTTCTCCTCACCATAACCTATATTGTCTTTTTTATTAATGCTAAAATACATTAAACCAAGAATTTCTCAGGAATATGGTAACAGTCAAGTTAAAATTTGTGAATTTTTTCTTTAATCATTTTAAATTAAAATTTGTAAAATTGACGTGATTAAATTTGTAGTTAAATATAAAGATGAAAATTATTTTTTTCTTTTCTCCCTATCGACTTCCGAGGTTTAACCTGCGGAGGTTGTTTATGCGTATCTTGCAGTCGGAACTGCGGGACGGTAGAAAGATTTTCTTTACATTGTCTTCAAAAAAGCAAAAATAATTGAATGCATATAGCAACAGTTCTTTGTTCTCATGTATTCTTAATTAATATATTTATTTTAACATGACCTAACTGCTAAATTATTTTGAAGTCAATCACAAGGGCTTCATTCAACCTTGACATTGGTATCATCGTAAAGAAAAGTATTTCATCTCTTTGCAAACTTTTTCGACAAGATTAATCGTGTACTGGCCGTCCTTTGTTTTACACGTTTATAAGTCTTGAAATTTTATAAGTCGTTTATAACTGAACTTTTCAAATTTTTTACGAAAATTTAATTACGATATCCAATTCCAGACCATTTATGACGCTAGCTTCGAAAAAATCAAAATTTTGCTTGTAAAATAAATCCGGCTTTTACATTAATGTTAGCACAAAGAAATTTATTTTTTTATTTGGTTTCGAACCTTTTTATTGCAAAGAGCCCATATGTTTAATTAAATGATTTCTTTATAATTTTTTCATATTTCAAATTTTAAGATATTTTTATGTTAAAAATTTTCGGATCAATCATTATCAATTTGTTTTTAACAACAATTGTCGAAATCTCTTTTAACATTACCCTTAAATAAATACATGTGTAATTATTTTAGATTTATATTACAAAATAGGAAACTTATTATTGAAATTATTGAAACTAAAAATTTATAATATAAAATTAATTAAATATTATTTTGAAGATGGCGAAGCGGTATAAAATAAAATGATGAAGCCATTATAACCTTATGATGGATTAATTAGTTTTTTAAAAATATTTTTTAATATGCGTCTTTACCACGATGAAATAATGATAATGATTGGTTTTGATTAAGAAAACTATTCAACTTAGGAAAATAGATAAATAACTTCATGCGATATTTAACGCATTCAGTAAGTTGAATATCCTGCATTTATTACCTCCTGCGAGGTGTCTACATAATCATTTAAGTTTGGAGGTGAAGGCTTTGACATAGCAATCGAAAACATATTTATTATACTAGTGAAATATTTTTCTGGAAAGCGGATGACTAAAAAAATTAAAAATAATTATTAGGCTCGTAGGTATAACAAAGCTTTTGACTAAAATTTATTGTCAAGTTCACATACATCTGTCATCACTACCCTCTTTCTTACCACATTTTTAAGACATCGAGCAGTTGTAAATGTTCAGGTGGAAGCTATTACATACTGTATATTGTTAGTTGACTTATTCCCGCGACCTCGCACGCAGTTTACACTAATATCAGATTTAATATATGATTTATTATTTAAAACGACTTATTTATTTTGATTACGTAAAAAGGATGTTGATTTAATTCTTTTATTAATTATTTTTCATACCAAACTCTACAAATTTAAAAAACCTTCACAGAAAATTTTAAGTATGTCTTTTAAATATGACCGACTATATACGACCTGACCATTATATAGTTTTTTGCACAAATGTAATTGACTTAACTTATGGTGCATATGGTCAAAGCGCAATTATACATAAAACTTTGGTTTGAATTTTATGATCTTTGACTTTAACGAAATTACAATTTACCGTTCTTAATCACTAAAAAGAGGGTGGCTTACTTTTCAAATGACTAAAATAAATACTTAAAAAGGGCTCTAAATATTTGTTGTCAACTGATTTTCAAAAATTCAAAAATTAACTCAAAAAAAAAAAAAACAATTATATTACCTAATCTCGTGCGGGGTCTAATGAATAATCTTTATATAAAGGTAATAATGTTACTTTATGAGTAAGAAATGTAAAATAAGGCGCGGACTGTTTTATCTTCGTTTCTTTTGTAATGTTTCCATACTATTGTTGTATTCAATTCTTTCGTTTATGTATATATAAACAATTTGTGTTGTAAGCAGAAGGTATTAATTGAATAATA